AGAAATTATGCAACCCAAGGCCAAGGCTGAATGCCTGGAACCATCAGTGAGAGTGACAAGTATGAGCCCACTTTGAAATTCTGGGGGCCACAGACAATGGTCACAAAATTAAACACACTTGATCATGAAGAACTGGAGTTTGTTTTTGCCCATTGGTTTCTTCCTTCTTCCATTTTGCGCCATCCCAGAACTCAGTTTGTTGAACAGTTCTGCCCACATTCAGAGAAGTTTTGTTTTTTCCCTCGTTGCTGCTCCACATGCCAGTCATCCTTCAGACACCCACACAGACACACCCAGAAGTGTGTCTAGATGTCTTCAGTAATCTAAATGTCTCTCCATCCAGTCAAGCTGGTGATTAAGACCATCATCACAGTATCTGTGGCCCATTGTGGCTGGTGCCATCTCTAAGGCTGTAGAAGAAAAGTAATTGAGCAAACCAAGGAGAGCAAGCCAGGAAGCCGTGTTCCTCTGTGTTCCCTGTTTCAATTCCTGCCTCTGGGTTCCTGCCTGAGTTCCAGCCTTGAAGGTCCTCTATAGGTGAACTGTAACATGATAGTGAAAGCCAAATGAACACTTCCCTCCCTAAGTTGCTTTCGGTGGCAGCGTTAATCACAGCAATGAAAAGCAAACTGACACAGCATCCCTCCCCCATAAAAGGCCATCATCCATCAATTCACAATATAGCAATCATTCAACATGGGAATAATATCATATTAGAGCTATATCATTAAAGCTTAGACAATGAAGATACCTTCTCACATTGATGTAAATGAACATTTTATTTCTTTATTTGCAATAGACAACAGCCTCTCTGTGTACATTATGATAACAACTGTCTAGGCTACTTCACATAAACTTGAAGATCTCTTTTGCTAAACCCACTGAATCTACACTTGGACATGCTGAAGTTTGACTGGTGATCAAAATGGGGTGAAGAGGCTTGGTGTGTCTGTCTTCATATTGCGTTGGTCCCCACTGCTGTTTCATCTTTGGGTCGTAATCTACTTAACTCTATATGTAATTATGCTGATAATCTTCTTAAACATTTTGTTAAAGACAAAAATATAAGGAGAAATTGACCTGATGTCCATTGGGACTGGTATGTATTTCTCTTCCTCATCCTTGGGCCTTCTCAGTAGCTCAAATACCTAACATCCCTCAGCCTTAGTCTGAGACATAAGTCTTAGACTAAAACAGCAGGTCAGGATGTTTGTTCAAGATGATGCCATCAACAGCAGGAGAAACTCAGCCATTCTTAGGCTAAGCTGACTGCCCACTGGCCTACAAAGCAAAAGCAAAAATAATAGAACACAAAAAGAAAATATCTCCTAGACCTTGCTTATGGCCTACATCAGCCAAAAATTAAAAGGGAGAGCTCCTCGATCCCTTCCTCCATCAATACTGGATATTATTGGCTCCTCCTGACAATAATGGCTTTGCCTGTTGTGGTAGTTTGAATGTAACTAGCCCCCATAGTCTCATAGGGAATGGCATTATTAGGATGTGGGGCTTTGCTGGAGTGAGTATGACCTTGTTGGAGGAAGTGTGTCACTGTAGAGGTCAGTTTTTACTCTTCCTATGTTTAAGATATCACTGGGTGTGTTAGTCGACTTCTTGTTGCCTGCAAGATTACTACTCTCCCTGTACACCACCATGCTCCCTGCCATGATGACAATGGACTGAACATCTGAAACTATAAGCTGTCCCCAATTAAATCTTTCCTTTATAAGACACCAACCTAAGATACCTGTATTCCATGACTGGGTCTCATTTCCATGCCATGAGATTCATGAACAGGAAAACAGGATACAACTAGCTATAGGTATCTTGACAAGTCTATGCTATTTCAACTTGCAGTAAATTTCATAGTTTTTAAGGAAATGGGACCCTGACTATAACTATGCTCTACATGTCTGAACACCATCAGAATTTCAGCTCCAAATGTTCTCACTGAGATTCAGCTTATCAAAGATGGCTTCCTGGGATCTCCCCCTTTTGTGGTAACAGATGTGTCCCTGCAGCAACTGCACAAGACAGGTGTCTGTAGATGAGCAATCATTCTCCGCCCTGCTCCAGGTGGACCTCAGTGCAACAAGGTGAGGAGGTGGGAAGGGTCTGAGAGGAGTCAGGAGGGGGAAATCATGATCAAAAATACATTGTATGGAAAAAATTAATGTAATTCTATTTCTATTTAAAAACCTTTTTAAAAACTTAAATGGAACTGAATATGAACAGGACACCTCAAAATTAGGTTACTTTTCCATAAATACCAAAGGTGTACAGGCCCATAAATTGCTTTATATGCCACAGTGCTGGAAGTCAAAAGTTCTTACTAAAAGAAAAATGTACATACCAGGAAGTGTAGGTAAATGCCAAAAGGTGATCTCTTTAGGCATCAATTAAGGGAATCAAATATGGTCATTTAATGATTTCACATGTAATGATCTATAATATGCAAGTACCTGGTCAGGCTTTTAAAGGAGATTCATACTCAACATTCCTGCTAGAATTAAAAAAGAAAAGACTGTGACTTACTGTACAGGAAGATGACAGTCTAAATAAACACCAACAACTTTCTTGCATTGTGAATAATTTTCCCCTGCACTGCCAATTTAACATGGCATACCTAACTCATACTGTGTATTAGATACAAATGACAATCCCAAAATCTGTGAATTCCAAAACTAGGCAGAAGTGCATGTTAATCAATGCTTGATAAGGTCCAGTCAACACATACTTTCCAAAAACATGCAGGAAATATAGAGAAATACATGCAATGACTGGTGATAACAAAGTCCCATTTACTACTTAGTGTTTCATTTTGGAGGACGCCATGTGCATCTTACCATCATTTAATATGTGTTGGCCTATCACTCCATTTGCCAAATACGAGCCTATACTTTGTGACAAAGGACTTATGTAAAGGCTTTATTCTTCAAATGTCTTTGATAAGGCAGAGGTTCATCTGGAACTTATCTCAAAGCTTATGTGCAACACAGAAAGAAATACAGTATTTACCTTGCTGGAGTGCTACAGACATATAGGGAGGACATAGGGGTGTCACTCAAAGTGCATTAGCTTCCCGTGTATCAAATGGAGCATGGGCAAAGCCTCAATAGCAGAAGTCAGTTCTAAACAATGGTTACCATGAACACAATCCATTTCTGCCCATCATTCTACAGCTCCTCCAATCAGCAATCACCTCTTTAATTCTTGCCCTGTCTGTTCTATGTATCCTTCCTCTCTTCATGGTTTTCCTCATTCATACTTTCCACTTATCCACAGCTATGCTTCCTCATGACTTCTATGTCTTACGCTTTTCAATAGTATAACCAGTGAACCACCTTCTCTGTTTATCACAGTTTAAAAGTGGGTGTATTTGGAATATCTAAATAGATTTCCACTCTGATCCCTGATTCTTTGGTAGCCCTCCAAGGTCACCTTGATCTAATCAACTGTGGAGAGAGACATGAGCTCACGTGGATCAGAATGCAGTAACCCACACAGAATGAGCGCCAATCTGGAACATTTGTGTTTGGTCAGCAACCACCCTGTAAAAAGGCAAAAAGTGTGACTAGCATGAGTCAGAAACTACTCCACCGAACGAGCAGTCTCAAAACTAAGGGAAAGATACAGAGACATCCGCCTTTTCTGAAGTGAAGTAGCAGATGTTCAGATTTCACTCATTTCTCTATTTTTGGCTACTAAAAAGCCACAAAGATAAAAAAGCCATGATAGAAACCCAAATCAGCAATGGGGCCCTTTGTTCTAATATTGACTTACAGTCTTCAAGTCCATTCTCTCCCTCTCCTCCCCCTTTTTATCAGACTTCTACTGCTCTCAAATAAAATACAATAGACAAAGGCCAAAAAATTTTGCTTAGAACTACAGAAAAAAAATTGAAGCTCACCCATGGATTTGATCCAGTTTTCTGCCATCACAAAACTCTGTATATGACAGAAGTATATTGCAAAAGAAAATAATAAAATGTTCCTTTCATCTACTTTCCAGTATATCTGAATGCTATTGTTTTGACATTTAGAAATTTGTTTTGGTAAGCATCCAGTGCTCAGTCACATCTCAATTCTTCATTTAATTTCAATTAATTTCACAAAATTTAAAATTGGAACAATAAAATTATAAGCATAAGACATTTGAAACATAAATTATTCTAGGATGGTGATTAATTTCCTCTGTGACCCAGATTTTTTCAAAGTGTACAGTCATAATCACAAAGGAAGGAAGGGACAATAAATTCTTCAAGTAAACATACCTGTGCTATTTATTTTATAATTTCCGATACCATGACTATACTTCATTCATAATACCACAAATATTCAATTCATACTTACAGAATATGAAAAACAGAACATTCAAGATTTGGTAGAGCAAATGCCATTCGCAACGCTTCTTGACTGATCTGTTTTAAATTTGTAAGTCTACATGGTTTTATCAGTTTACAATTTGGAAGTATTACGCTAAAGACCTACAAAATCAAACAATAAAGCCAAGCTCCAATTTATTGATATATAGATAAGGCTAAAAATAGGAGCTAGCTTCATTTTCAATTATGAGAAAGGAAGCAATTATGATCTCTGATAGTCATTCTTAGATGGAAAATCAGAGTATCACCTTACTCTTTCCCTCCTCCACATTGTTTCCTTCATCTTTTCATTTTACAGATACAAGAAAACTAACACTGGGTCAGTGAAGATTTTAGTTTTGTAAAAAGTTAATTACCAGGTTGTATTACAGCATTACTTTAGTAGAAATTTAAAAGATTGTGGCTTTAAAAAGCATATTACTGTTACTTAAAACTCTGTTAGTTAGGGGAAGAAGACACACTCCGAACAACTTTTTAAAATATAAGCACTATGTCTTCATATGTATTTAATGTGATAAGATGTGAATTGTCATGAAGAACTCAACAGTGCACTGGTTGCACCCAGTGACCTCTGTGTGCTCCAAGAAATTACAGTGACAGTCAAGAAGTAGAACAATTTTGTTACATCCTGTATTTATTTAAGCAAATCAAATGTGTTGATAGGAAATTAATGCATCATAATGTTTTACAAATACAGATAAAAGACACAGAATACCAAGACCCTGAAGAGAAAATATGTGAGAATATAGTTCTGTGAAAGCCACAGCCAAGATGCCTGTCTGTTATTTTCCTCCTGGCATCAATCAAATAGTTTCAATAGATACCAATCTAACTTCCACAAATGCTAATGGTTTTAGTGGACTTGAAGGGATTGTGACTGACTACAGTATAATACATGTGAGGCCGGGCTTCCTGTGCTATTACAATACTGCTGTACACTGTGAGGAGAAATAATTTCTTAGCACATGTTTACTGTGACATCAATAAGATGTGAACTCATTTGCATAGGTTAATCCTTTGGACATCACAATGTGTCTCTGGTCCACCAAGGCTTAAAGATTCACAGTGCAGAGGAAAAAAACATGAATTAAAGCATTTCTACTAAAATATAGTTTAATAGCTGGTGTTAACAATTTGCATAACAAAGCCAAATTATACTAATAACCTTATATTATTCTGTGATCCCCATCCATTAAAAACATTAACTGCTTCTTTCAAAATCATAATGTTCTCAAAGCTAGGACAATTTTACAAATTAATCACCAACAACAATTGTACATATTTCAAAGCAAACAGAAGCCGAACTACATCATTTAAATTTTGTTTTTTTTATCATAGGTCAAAAACCAACAGTTCCACAAATATCATGCCTGTTTCACCCTTGTTGCTACTTCCAAAATGCTTAGCAATTCATTGTATGAACGTAAAGGAAGGAGGCTGGCAATGCAGTTTTCTCTCTTTCCTTTAGAGGAAACCATCTTTAACAATAATTGACAACAGTGATGTGTATGTTATACAAACAGGATACCATGTATCAGACACAGTAAGCATGTGGAGTCCTGGGGATATACTGAAGTCACAGAGAATTGGGAAGGACATTTGCCCAGGGAGCCTTCCAGACCTGAGGATTCTAGTAGTCTTATGCCTCCTGGATTGATGGCTACAGAAGTTTCCCACAATGTCTTGACTTTGTATCATCAGTTACTGACAGCTACTCGCCTGGAAAAAAGGCCCTATGGGGCATGGAATACTTCAGAGAGTCTCCATTTTAGCATCTTAAATTAGTTTACATAGATTCCTACTTAGCTGAAACTTTATCATGACATTGTACTACCCCATATGAGTGCAATGTAGCCACATTCAGATTACCAGAGGCAAACAATTAAAACATAATCAACTCATAAAGCTCATCTTATGCGGTAAATTCAGCCTCATAATAACTAATCTATCTAAGTATTTTAAACCCCATACTTAAACTTAATGCTCTTATATCTCAACTATATGTAAATCCACAAGAAAAAACTTTTCAGAAAATGGAAGAAGTCACTATTTTCTAAAGTTCTAAAACTTTAGAAGGAAAATAAAACTAGCTACCACCTGTAACATCTTTCAGTTAGGAGTATCCCACTTCCCACCAAAAAAAATCAATCATGTATCATAAAATACTGTTATAGAATATGCAAAAGCTTGCTTGCTTGGTTTCCTTTCCAAGACCATAATGATAAACAAGTATAATCAAAAGGCACCTATTTTGTATATATCTATATTATAACATTAGTATAAACTATATCCACTGTCTATAGGGCTGTGTTATTAAAGATCACACATAATTTTCTTTGTCATTTAACTGAAATCATTCCACTAGAGGTGGAGGAATCTGAAAACTAGGTGTGCCACTTGATTTCATTTGTGGAAAAGATTTTCCCAGCATTCCTGGAGTGTTATGAACCCCAGCATGGAGAGTATCTGGAATGAAAGACTACTGTAAAAGTAGCCAAACAGCATCATAATCTTCAAACAAAGGGCCTTTGCAAGGGAAGCACTTGCCGATTCTCACTCATCTCCACACAAGGTGCTTGTGGAAACTGTGCTTAGACTTTCCTGGGTGCTCTGTGGAGGGTGAGAGTTACGGGAGGATGCAGGGGCTCCGTGGAGAATGACAACCAGATCAAAATTTCAAACTGAGTTGCGCTGGGGATGTGCAACACAATGAAGACATGAAGTAGGCATTTTGTCACAGGTTAGAAATAGAAAACTCTCTAGAGAACAGGAAATGTTTTTTTTTAAATCTACTACAAAAGCTTACAACAAGAGCGTTATATTCTGCTGCTAAAGTTTTCTCAAGAGGAACACAAACCAAATACATTTGTCTTCAGAGCCTTTGAGAAGTGTATCACATGGCTTCTTGTGCTTCTGTCAGGCTTGAGAAGGCATCACATTTAGTAACAGGTGCATACTCTCTGTGGTTGGCATTTCGTTTCCTTTAACTTGATTTCTAAAGGGCTTGTTTTTAAATTGGTCTATAGCTGTCAGTTTTACATGTGAGATACTGGCTGCCAAACTGCAAGGGGGGAGGGAGGATGTGAAAAGTGTGTTAAGAGTCTAGTAATTTTTTTAACCAGTGCTGCAAAAGATGGCACCTGGGTATGACACATCTATGTTCCTATTTTCTGCTGAGATGGGTAACATTTTTACATATGCTAGTAACAGTGTCAAGACTATCAATTCATGACCTTAAGAGCATGCAATGTCTTGTCCTGCCTCAGTCTGTAGTGAACATAAGTGCCCTTCATTTAATTCAGATCAGATTTTAATCTGAAAGGCTTAAAACAGAAATATCTTGCTATGAAAACATGTACAGCTCAACATTTAGGACACTGATTTCCTAAACATACACTGACTTTCACATTCATCAAGTCTGACTTTTTGAAGTTAATGAGTGGCAAGAACATGGACTATCGAGCTGTTTTGTGGGGACTAGCTGAAATTAAGCATCAATTCAAAATCGGCTTCTGTTGAGCTTTCTGCACACAGGCTATAACCAAAATCATACCTGCCCTGCATTTAGTCTGAGGTTTTAATCAACAACTACCCTTTTTATAATAATCACACACACACACACACACACACACACACGGTCTGCCTGGGGAAGCATAAAGACACATAACATAAATGAAACAGTTTATCACCCTTGTATTAGTGTAAATATTTTTGCAAAATTATTGCAACTGCAGTTTGTCTTTGTAGGTGTGTATTTAAGACATGAAAACAGGAAGGTTAATCTTGACTGGCTATTTAAATGACAGGAAATTAGGTAAGCAGTTTATTTATGAGTCTATAAAAACCCTTTCCAGGAAAATCTCCAGTTATTTTTCTTTTCAGTTTTCTACCAGTGTCACAGAAACACAGGTCAGTGTAACAAAAACTTTTTTAAGGCAAATTTAATGAAACTACTGATTTTCAAAAGTATGGAATCACTTTTCAAAGGTTTAAATGAACCAACTTTGAGCTTTGCCCTCATAAACATTTCATTCAAATGTTTTCCACTGGTGGGTGCTAGCTAATTTCCTTGAGAATATTGTGTAGGTCTCCCCACAATCCCAGTGTCTCCTTACAATTTTGTGACTCTGCCCTCTTCATATTCAGATCTCACATGAACGCCATGCTGCTTCAAGTCACAGTAAGAGGCACCATGAGAAAAACACGAATTGTGATAAATGTTGACATCCACTAACTTTGACTGCAGACTCCAGAGCAAATTTAAGACACAATGGTAATAATGGTTCTACTTGGAGCTGTGAAGCTATAAAAACCCTGCATACTCACTCAAAACAAGACATCCATTTTCTTCTTAGTGAACCATCTGTTGATTTGAGCACACACACACACACACACACACACACACATACACACACACACATACACATACACAAATCACTGATGTCTTCCTTATCTAATCCAGAAGGTGATTTAGAAAACAAAAACAAGGGTGAGGAAAGGAATTCTTTTTATGAATACACTTAGTGGCTAGATTTCCATCCAGAGTCTGAAGAACAATTGCCAAAATAGACAACCAAATCATCTAATTGTGGAGCAAACTTTTGCTCACTGTTTGATGTTTTTGTTTTCCTCCAGTATACTGCATAGTCCATTTCCACTTACACAGGATGCTGTTCAATTCACTTTACTTTTAAATCAATGGTGGTATTAAGTGAGTGAAAGCTATCCAGTAAATACATAAATCTCCTATTTACTAGAGTATATTTGTATTTCCTAGGGCATGAGTCTTTCAAACCTAGAGTTTAATACAGCAAGAAAGTCTCAAGCAACTTTTCAAAATGTTTTCTGATGAGCTAGCCACTATAAAAAAGAGCAAGGAGAGGTCAACCACACTGCTGACTTTTATAACAAGGATGGGCAAGCAGCTGTCATGTTACAGAAGCTTAAGCCCATGAGACATGCAACAGGAGAGAGGCTACTAGGAAAATACACAGATGACATTGAACTTTGCCCTTTGCAGAGTAGCTGTGAAGTTACCTGGTCCTGATAGTCTGAGGACCTGAGCATGCACTCTGCTCCACAGAATGTAAATGGACATAGCCTATACCGTGAAACACGTGAGAAATAACTAGAGCCTAGGGAAGGGGCAAGTTTCCTGCCTGCTCCCTAAGGCTTCAGTCTATAGGATTCTAACTAGACTCATTCTGCCACTGTTTCCATTCATTACGTTAGGCAATTCTCACTTAGATTGAAAATTACCCCATGGTTCAAAAGCTGAATGGTTTTTAAATTATTGGCTGTGTTGCTGTACTATGAGAATTGGCTTCGGATGATTCCAAGTGACAGCTAAGAAGTTTCATATACTTGTTACATTTAAGGGACAACCAACATCTCTATTAAAGTCTACAAAAATACATTTCCCAGAAGGGTTGAATAGCCAATTAAATGAAACCACAAACACAATTAGCAGCACCAGGTCTCCAGACCTAATGGTTTTGTTTACAGGAATCACTATGGATGCTGCTGTTTTCCAGCCCAAAAGTCATTCCTTTTTCCTGGTACCTGTGTGTCTAATTGTCAAAGTAAGTATACATTATTGTAAAATAATTGCCAAGTTATCTGAAAAGTATCTTCTATCTTTTAAAAAGATTGGGTTTAGAATACATCAGAATAAAGCTCAAAGGGCAAGGAGAAAGAATTAATTCACAAATTCAATATAATTTGCCGGGAGCATGCCCGTTCTCCCGGTTCTCTGCACGGTGCCATACATCCAGCCATCATCAATGGGCTGCACATTGACAATGTAGTCGCCATCTCGGAAGGAGACCTCATCTTCATCCTGGGCACTGTAATCGTACATGGCTCGGTAGGTCCTCTGAGAAAGAAAGAAGAGATTGGGCATTGTATTCCACAGTCATCACAGTTACAAATCTGGGTACCAACAAACCACCTCACATATGATGTACCAGTATGAAGGGTTACAGACATTGCTATCTCAGGATAGTTGTAAACCAGGTGTACCACCTAATTCTAGAAATCTTAACTTTGCTCATCTAGAGAAAACAGATTTAAGATCAGAGCAGAGATCCCAAAAGATAGTACAATAGCTTAACTTAAAAAGACAATGAAACTCATTAAATAAAAGTATGCCTGTCTAAAAGTAGAAACTCATTAAATAAAAGTATGCCTGTCTAAAAGTAGCTTCTGAAAGAGTAGCACCAGGTCCCACATGCAGATAATCCCAGAAATGCTAAATGATGTAGATTTTTGTCCTGTCCCTTCACTCTTCAGGAGATTAGCCCCCCATTAACAGCAGGCCCATAGTCCAGGGGCTCTCTGCCAATGGCTCCCCCTTGCATAACAAATGAACTTTTCTAAATAAGTACAAGAATTTATGTTCTCTCTTAAAAATACTAAAAGAAATAATTTACTTACTTAAACTACATATTTCAGATCACAGTGTCTACAGAAATGTTCTGTTTGTGATACACATATAGAGAAAATTTTGTTATAGTAAAAAAATTAAAATTGTGTTTTTATATTTGCTTTAGTACAGACTAAGAATTCTTCTAATATTAGTAATCAGTAAATCTCAAAGCCAAAAAGTATTCCTAGATTAAGGAAACTGGCTGGCACACAATAGTCCTGAAAGCACTCGACTATCTTACAAGACATTACTTCTAAGTATTGTGAGAAGCAATTTTAGCATGAAACACCAAGTATGACCACAAAGCAAGTATCATTCTAAACTGAATGAAAAGCATGCCAAGACTTTTAACAGGGATGTATGAAGGATACTGTTACTCATGGACTTAACTGACATGCGGAGATTGCACACAGTAATTGCATAGATTTGGGGATACAGAGTGACATTTCAATACCTGGGTACAATGTCTGTCAGGCCAGACAATCTGGAATATCTGTTTATTATTTCTTTCTGTTCAGAACATTTAAACTTCCTCTAGCTACTTTGCCTGTGTCCATTAGACTTCTGAGGCCATCATGATGACCATGAAGATTAACGCTTTAACGTGGCTATCACATACCTGTGCCTTCTTAGAGTAGATGAAGAGCATAACTGAATCTTTCCAATCGTGAAGTAACAGTAACAACTGGGATACTGTGTTGTTTGGATTTGAAATGTTCTCATAGGCTAAGGTATTTGAATATTTGATGTTGAGTTGTGGCAAGGTTTAGGAGGTCCGGCCTTGCTAGAGAAAATATGTCACTGGAGGTTGACTTTGACAGAATATAGACTTGTCTTAGCTATTTTTCTGCTTTGTCCTTATGGTTGAGATGTGACCTCTTAGCTTCCTGCTCTAGCCACCATGCCTCCTTGCCCTGGCATGGGGTCTTATACCTTGGGAAAATAAGCACAAATAAACTCTTCCATCTATAAGTTGCTTTTGGTCATGGAGTTTTATCATCATAGCATAAAAGTGACATAAAAGGGATCCCTACTATTTGTTTTATTGTTTGAAGATGTTTATTAATGTCATTATTTCTCATCACTTTACCTCTGTAATGGTTTTGTTTGCATGGAAACAACTACACAGATAGTGATGTATTGGGTTCTTTTTTTTCCAGTGCAAGAGGTTGAAGTCAGAACCTTGCATTCTAAGACAGCACTCTACCACCAAGCTACAGTTCAAGATTACAGGAATATTTGAAATCAGCACTTACTAGATTTGGTGAATGCTGCATTGACCTCATGGATGACACGCTGGTCTGGTGCATGTACCCATAGCCTTGGGAATGACTTTGCTGGTAAGCTCCAGGAAGAACGGGTGCTGCACATGGACACACACAGATTGCCCAGATTAACCTCCAAATATTCTGCCCAAACCCAAGTGGCTTCAAGCACTATCAGTAAAACAAAAGGTTTTCAGTGTCCTATGAAATTTGAGTGTCAGCAGGACAGGTAACCTCTAGATTAGCCCAAACCTTAGCAGTTAAGGCAATTAATTTAAAACTCAGTTTTATCATGCAGTTAACTAGGTTTCTTTAAAGGACATTTTTAGTAATTCTTTTAAAATGCCATGCTGTTTGTTTTTTTTCATAATCACACATACCCTTTCCCAACTCCTCCCTCCAACTCAACTTTGAGTTTACTTCTGTTTTTGTTGTTTGTTAGTTTGTTTTAACCCATGAAGTCCAATTTGTGCTGCCTTACTATTCTTGAGTGTGGTATACCTACCAAGAATGAAATTAAATGAAATTGACTCCCCCTCTCCCAGGAGCTCTCAAAACGCCAGTAATTTTATTTTTAATATTTTTATTATGCTATTGTAGATGCTATGATTAAACAAAATAAATGAAACAAAATAAATGAAACAAAAATATTATATCCTTAACAAACAAATCACACTTATTTAAAAAATGTGGAAAAGTAAAAAGAATTTAATAAGTGAGGGTAGAATGATTGAGCCTACTTTTATATTACCCCCTCCAATACTCAAGGGACATCGTGGAAGAGGGAGCAGAAAGAATTTATGGTCAGAAGGATGGGAGATGTGCCATATAAACACATCATGAGATGCCTTGTCTCATTTGGTATGTCTACAACACAACCCCTACACCCAAGGCTCAGGGATCCCAAGAAGAGGGGACAGAAAAATTGTAAGAGTCAGAAGACCAGGAAATATGTTGCTACATAGAGTAGCATATGTAGACATGTCAGAGAAGGTGGCATATAAAACAATATAGTTGTCTAAACAAGACCTGCATAATGATAACTCCAGTTCACATGCAAAAACATATGGCCCCACCCCTAGATTAAGACCTATAGGCCATCAATGGCTATTGAAAGAGGAACATCAGTCTTCTTCAAGGACAAGCCCGTCTGATAGGTTATATAATCCTGCTGTCAATCATAAACACATGCACATATGAGCAACACTAAATGGGCTTTGTGTGGGGGGGGCATGTGTGTGTGTGTGCATGTGTGTGTGTAAACCAATAGCAATTATAGAATAATTATCAATTTGAGAGGGAGTGACATTGGGGACAAGGCCAATTCGAATCCAATCAGAGGCCCAGATGAAAGAATACTAGTGCTGTGTCCTTGCCCAGGAGCAAACTTGACAAGTTGTGGTATGGAACTGGGGCCAGGGCCTTGAAGGAAATAAGCTTTTTGGTACCTGGGCACCAGACTCTTCCACCCACTAAAAGGCTATTGCTATCAGTTCCCAGACAACTGTGTGCTGGGTCAGTGACACACTTGAGAAATCCTGTGATCCCTTTGTGCAATGTTGCTTGCCTCGCTTCCTGCTGACTCTGTTCCATTGTGCCATAGTTTGCTGCTCACTGTCCCATCTCCCTACAAACAAGGTATAAGATGCTATATTTCTTCATGCACTGTCAAGTAGGAGTCATTTGCTCATGCAGAGCTCTTGACTTCAGCTTTCTGTCTCCTTTATTTTTCTCATTCCTGACCCTCCCCTGCAATACCTCACAGTTCAGGACCTTTATTCCTACATGTTTGGGTCAGAGTGGAGCAGAGACATAGGAGGCATTAGCGAGGAATTAAGGGGGTTTTGAAATATAGTAGTCACTTATTTAATTCTGCAACAAAAATTTAAATGATAAAAGATATAACATAGACATTGCACTCAGGAGCTCACTGCAGCAATGGTTACCTGCATAAGACCTGAACAAGATTTGGCCTGTCAGCAGTTATCATGGATGAGAGAAGCTCATGAGGTCCCATCCCTCCATTAGGGATTACTGGAAGTTAATGGTTGCCTAGGGAAGTAATGTCATTTTTTTTCCCAATGGTATAACACTGATAAGTTGCCCATGCATCAATAAATAACCCCAATACATACTCATGCGGCTGCCATAATTAAACTTGTTTATGCGCAGTGAGTTTCTGTCTCTGTCTCTCTCTTTCCTCTCCTCTCTCCTCTCTCTCTCTCTCTCTCTCTCTCTCTCTCTCTCTCTCTCTCTCTCCCTCTCTCTCTCTCTCTGTCTCTCTCTTTCTGTCTCTCTCACACACACATGCACACACACTCACTCACACACATGCAGACACAGGAAAATAGGAAAGAGACTTGTCGTAAACAAGGGTAATGAAAACAGCTAAAATTGATTATATATCAAAGAATAAAACAAAAAGTAACAAAAAAGTTTTATAAATACCATTCTCCTATGTTACAATATATCAAAATGATATTCACTGGATTTTTCCCATCTTCACCACTAATTAGGGCAATCAGAAGACATAGTTTCTGAGTCAAGCATGGTGGTACATTGTTGAGGGATATTTGTATACTGTGAGAAGATATGTTTGTGCTGTGATTGATGTAATAAAAAGCTGAATGGACAATAGTTAGACAAGAGATACAGTTGGGGTTTCCAGGGAGAGAAAAAGGATGAGAAGGAGAGATACTAGGAGACACACAGAAAAAGCAGGAGGTGCAAGATGGAAGAGAGGTGATGGCATGTGACAGAACACAGATTAATGCAAACAGGCTAAGCCTTCATAATTAATAAGGTGTGACTACAGTGCATACCTCAGACTCGATCCCTGAGCAGGCTGGGGTAGAAGGACAACTGAGTTTAAAGCTGCAAAGATGGTATCAAGGAAGACTGAGTTACAAAGCAAGATTCTGACTCAAAAAACAAAACCCACTCAAACCAAAACAAGCAAGACATCGTTTCTTTCCTGATAAACTCTGATTTCTAAACAAACCACCCAAAACAGAAGCTGTTTTTAAAAAGCCCACAAGTCCACAAATAATAGGCATGTGTTTGTGTGTGTGTGGGTGTGTGGGTGTTTCTCTATATGTTTATATATTTAAAGTATTTGTAAGCAAACTATCTGTGAGTGAAGGCATTTCAGTAGCATGGCCTTCATTCTGGTTTGAAAAATTAGATAATTCATTAGAAAAAGACGTACAACACATGTGCTATTAAACCCATATTAGTTTGCCATTTTAATCAGGTTGAGCATATACCTATAATAGGTTTATTTATTCAGGTCAATTTCTATAACAAAAGTTATGAGCAGATATAATTCTTGGGTGTTGTGAGCTTAATATTTTATAAATGGCAAATGCATTCTAATGGTGCATGAAATCAATACTTTAAAGAAGTTTAATGATTAGCATATTAAAACCTGTAATATGTTCTCCAGACGATAATGATATTAAGATAAATGGAGACTCTTTTTAATAGTTCTTGAGTGAATTTATATTATGATATTGTTACAAATTATACCTAGTATTCAGATAAGGCATCAAAGAGAGATTGCCAAGATATCAATTTGGATTGGAATTGCTATAAACTTACTAAACTATGATTAAAGCTCAAATCCTTCCAGAAAATAGCCTGGTTAAGATTACCAACTCAATTTTCATATTTAATGTGAAGAGTTGTTCAGAGTATTATCAAAATCTACCCGTGAGGAAAAAAATAATGAAATCACCATAAATACCAGGCTCCTACTCTTGCTTAGTAAGAGACTTTCTTGTGGGAGGCAGAGGAAGCTGGAAACCATGAACAGCCACTTCCCTCTTCAACTCTCAGCAAATACTCGCCAGTGTTATTATTGTGCCTGCTGAACAGTAAGTCTCTACAGCAATTAACAATAATTATGACTATCGGCTAAGTTCCAGGCAGGCCAGGCATAGATAAATGACAAAACAATTGCCTTATTTGAAACCACAATGACCCTGGGCAGTCAGTCCTTCAGTCAGTTAGGGAGATGGTTCTGGATATGTATGTATGATGACATGTTCAATTAAATACATAAATTAATGATGTAGACTAAAAAAAAACTTGTTTTCACCATTTAGACTAGTAAGTTCTTCATTAATTACTGTTTGAACCTATTCATAAAAATTTTAATTTGAATGTTTTTACTATAAGCAAATGATAACTGTTTGAAAGCTACATATAGTTAATCAGATTCAAACATTAAACACTGTATACATGCATTAAAATAACCAAGTAGCCTGTGACCAGGTATAATTTATTTTTTGCATCAAGTAAAAATAAGTTGAAAAAAATATCAACAGGGACTCTTTGGCCAATAGTTTAACTATTAAAGGGGTGTAACAAATGAAAACAATGTTTCTTATTTCTCTTTTCCCCACTTTTTGAAGGGTGGCTGAGGATCAAACCCTGGGCTCAAGGCACTCTTTGCCACTGAGTTACAGCCCAGCCTAGAAACACATCTCCAGCAAAGCTAAACAGTGCTAGGATAATGCTTTCCCAGGGAGGATCTGGAAGTCTTGTCACAGTCTCTCTCAGAACCCCTCAGTAGAGAACACCTTACTGAAAACCAGGAAGTCATGAGGAGGGGATTGTGTTCCTGTCTCTAACAATGTTTGGTTCCCTTTGGTTATAATGGCACATCGTGTGAGCCTGGAATCCTTCTTAATAAAGCCAGCCAAAGTGGTGCCTCCTAAATTCAAGATGATAAGGGAGCAAGATAAAGATCTGTTACTGTCAGTTCAGTTTGCTTGCTTGCTTGCTTTGTGTGCCATTAGTTATTGCTGTATGTGTGTGATTATAGGGGTCATGCATGGAGTGGCACACCTGTGAGGTTCAGAGGACAACTTTCAGGACTCTCTTTGCATCACAGGATCTGAGGACAGAACTCAGGTCATCTGGCTTGCACTAAACACACTTTGGGTCATATTGCAGGCCCATATTTGCCTGCTGTTAAACCCACTCACTGTAATTAGTAATTTTTGATGCCTATTCATAAATTTTAAAGATTATTTGAACGCATCTGTTCATTTACCTGAAAGAAAAAAAAACTATATTCAAATCCATTATTACA